GGGTGAGCACCAGAAGCATGAAGCTAACAAAAGACAACAGAGAGACAGAAGGAACCTGGGCCTCTGGTGACACTGGCAAGCCACTCCATCTGTCTTGGAATGGCAGGCTACTTAGTTTTTTAAGCCAGATGATATTTTTTTAACTTGCAACATAAAGGACAGTCCACAAATCCTTGTCTGCGCAAACACAAGGTATTATTTCTGTCCACCACAGCAGTTAACCTTACTTTGTACTGGTTTCTTCTCGAACCTCTGGGATCCCATGCTCACCTCAGCCTGCTTTTGCTTTTTTTTTTTTTTTTTTTCTGAACTGGGGATTGAACTCAGGCCCTTGCTTGCCAGACAAGCGCTTATTCTACTGAGCCATCTCCCCGGCCCCTCAGCCTGCTTTTGAGTCTCCTCTCCTGGTTCCTCCTCACAGTGACCAATTTTTCTCTACCTTCTCTCCCCTGGATCCTCCCAGTACTGTGATGTATCACCTCTTCTCTGCACAAAGACCATGGAAAACTGCTCTTCACCCTCCTACCTACATGTTGCCTAGGCATTTCAACCTCATTTTTTCAAAGCTAAATGTTTGATCTTCTCCCTCAGTCTGTTCTTTCTGAAGGCTGTATCATGGGGACCAAAGCTCTTCCAGACCTTCCCTGACTCAAGACTAAAGTGTTACTTTGATACCTCAGCACCCACCCCATCCACTCTTACACCTCTCCTCCAGCTCTCAAGTCACCACCCAGTCTGAGTCACTATTAAGTTGTGCCTGGAAAGCTTCAGCAGCCTCCTACTGGTCTCCCTACACCCACTCCCCACACCTTCCGAGCCATGCAGCTTACTGAACTTTCAGAAACCCAAATTTGGTATGAAAATGCCTTCAAGAAACAAAATCCAAATTCATTATGGGATACTACCTACCCTATTCCTTGCTCACTTTCCACCTTCCTTTTGCTTCTCACCTCCACATTGGGAGAAGTTGTCTTGGACAGTTTCCCCTCCCTCATGCTATACAAACCTCCTAATCGTCCTTCGTTGCTTAGCCTAACGGCTATTTTCTTAACGAAGCTCCCCAACTACTCACCCCACACCAGGATCTCAGAATTGTCTCAACACTCTTCTCACAGCACCACTTTCCATGATGCATAATTAAGTATCGACTTATTCTAATGAATATACATAGATAGCGATTGTTTGATGCTTGTTTTCCTCTGCCCACCCTAACTCATTAAGACTGTCACAGCCCGGAGATCAAGAGCAAATTTCACCCACTCCATCTTCCTGCCTTCAGCATTGTGCCTGAACATAGTAGGCGCTCAAGGAACGTACCTACTTCGCTCATAAATGAACACACTGACTCATCCGCGCCCATAAGAATTCGTCAGACACGAAGAAGCTGGGAGAGCCGGGGTTGGCATGTCAGTAGCTTGCCCAAGTTCCAGCGCGAGGAACAGATCCCACGCTATGAGCCTGTATCTTTCCTCACGATGAAAAGGGCACGGGAGGGGACGGACAATGCGCCACGAGAGCGTCCCTGGAGTACCAGGATTCCGGAGTAAGCGCTTAAAGGAAATAGGGGTTTCCACCCCAAGGGTTAAGCTACACTTTGCTCTCCAAGAGTAAAGATCACAATCTGATACATATGCATTAGGGGACCATGGAGTCGTGGCTCGGGGCTGGCCAGAAAGCGCCTGACTAAAAAGTCTTCGTAGTTAAAGACACAGGAGCCACATAATTTCTTAAAGATAGGCATAAAACTTCAAAGGGTCTTCTGTGATAGAAAGTGAGGGAAAATCGAGCGAGAATGACACAATTTGTGCCATATAATCAGGCATTCACCGTAGACAGCATAGCTCCACGAGGGGGTCCTCTGCCGGCTAGCCTGGAAGACGAAGGGGGCGTCTCCTCTGCTTTTGCGGCGTCTGTGCTGAGCTGAGGTGGAGGCAGACTGTGGCGGCGACGACGGCAGGGGTGGCGGCACCATGGCAGGGCTCGCAGGTACCGTGGCGTCAGCTTGCTAGAGACGGGAGAGGCCCTCGGTGCGGCCGCGCCGCCATGTTGTCCCTTCGGGGTCACCTTAGGCGCCGCTGGGTCCTTCACGGGGGCTTTCTTTCCGCGCACCCATGGGTGGGAGCACCCCTGTCTGGCGTCAGGTGATTGCCCTGTTTTGCTCCAGCCTAGGCCTTGGGGATGTTTCCTGGCCCGCGGGTGGGGCCAGAATCCTGGGCTCTCGCTCTGGCCTCCAAGGTCAGCACTCTCCCGGGATGGGGCAGACGGAACGCGGGCGGGGTAGGGGGGTGGCGCTCTGCCGGGTCCCTCGGCAGCGGGCCCGGCTAGTAACAGGCCTGTCGCTCTTTCCCTGCCGCTTCAGTTACGTTTTTCAAAAGCCAGTAGGGGATTGGGAAAGATGGAAGAAAAGGGACCCAATGTCTGGGCGATAGGTTGACACTGCTTCGGGTCGCGGGCGTTAGTCACTCCCACTAACTTTGTATTAAGGCTGGAACCTGTTTCCTTTCCTCCAATATATAGTGAGTGGCCTGCGAGGGCGGCTGAAGGAACGAAAGGGATGCCTGGAAAGGAACATTGGGGGATGGGACAGTTGCTTTTTCCTTCCTTCTTCCATATCTCTTTTTTGTTTTCTCCCAGGCTCCCGTGTTTCTTTTCAGCAATTAATGTTAGAAAACTGGGGTCTGGCCTAGGAAAGAAATGGCTTATTTGTTAATGGGTTTGGATCATCTTTTGTCCCTTTTAGGGAACTGGCATGTTGGGGACGGCTTCTCTGCCCTGCCAGACATGGTCCAACCTTCAGCCTTCTGGACGGCAACATCAAAGCAAGGACCAAAAAAAGTTCCAGCTTAAGTGTTAGGTCAAGTTTATTTTAAATCAGAGATTAATGTCAAGCAAATTAGTTAAAAGATTTGATTGGTAGAAGCTTGGTCAGTTTCTAGTGATCAGATCAGTTCTGTATCCAAAATTGGTTATCTTAAGAGCTGATACCCAGAAGAGTTTAACCTTTTCTCTGCAATATGTTTTAAAGAGGAATCTGGAGTAGGCTGTCTTTTGTTGTCGTTCTCTATCTTTGCACACATGCATTACATTTCAAGCCTGTCACTGTGTGATACACCAGAGCCATGTGTTGCCAGCCTTTCTCACTTCCTGCTCTGGGAATGCTCAGGAATCAGCATCCTGTTGGAGTATAGCCCATTGGGAAGGGAAGAAGGGAGGATAAAGGGAATTATTTAGACTCGTTTAAATCTCCTGGGGGAAATTAAAATTTAGAATCTCCCTTTGGAGTACTGCTCCTAAGACAGTAGATACCTAGTAAACCACTTGTACTAAGCTGCTGCTGGCCCTACAGTTGAAGCTCAAGAAACTTGTCTCTGCCCTGGCCCAGAACAGATTCTTATTCCTTTAATGACAATTCATATACTCCACAGATAGAGGTAACAAGTGTCATAGTACCTCACACCTCTGAAACTTGTGGAACCCAACTACCCACCCCTAGATTTAACCGTAGCTGGTGAGGCATCAGTCCCAAGGGTCTGACCTGTTGCTGGACTCCCACTGTCATTCCACTCTCCTTACTAGTCACTTGCTCTATCAGTGGCCTTGTTAGGGCTGGGATGGGGCAACGGTTTAGGGAAAAGGGACATTTAGCTCTATGTACTAAGGCTTTTCAATAAAATTAGAACATCCTATTGCTCTCTGTGAGAATAAAATGTTTTAATGGTATAGCTTGTGGAAAACATTTTATATTCAAGATGTCCTGTATTTGGATCAGACTTCTTGCCGTTGCCTGGGGATAGAAAGTGAACATATTCCTTCTGTTTTCTCTGGTGAGTTAAGTTTGCTGTCAGAACAGGAGGGTAGGGAATGAAAATGGAAGTAGACAATTATACCTGCTACCTCATTTATAGCATGCAGGCCACCAAGCAGCCCTTGCCTAGTGGAAGTCTGTCATTATACCAAGTCTTGCTGTTTGATGGAGAGAGAAAAGGAGCTTTTCTAGGGTCATCTAGAAAGCTGTGGGAGTACAAGCAGCCTCTGCCTTCTTATGGGATAAAGACCATTGGAGGTGCTGTGTCCACAGCAGCCAGACTCATACTCCTTTGGTCTTCATCCATAAACTGCTCCAACCACTACTGCTTTGTAGCTGAGCTGAGGTTAGAGCATCTGGGACAATGGGACGGGCTCACCCCTAAAGGCTCTGAGGGAATGACAGCCTTCATTGGGGACATTGAAATATATGCATGGCTTTGTGGCTTTAGTGTGGAAAACTACAGAAACTTCAGCCTTGAGGCTTGTCCAAAATACGGGATTTAAGAGGGAAGAGGTGTGGACATTGCCTGTTGCTGAGTCACTCGGGCAGGAAGAGACTTGCCTTACCTTTAGGCTATAGTAGCAGCGTGGCCAGACCAAGAAGGAAGATAAGAGCCTCAGATTTCACATTCCACCCAAGACCTGATGTCTCTTGATTGCTGTTTTGATAGACTGTTTCTAGTATATGGGAATTCTGCAGAATTTTAGAAAGGAACTAAAGGTGCGAGGTGACCTGGCTGGGTTGCCTAAGCTGATTTGATTGATTGCAAAGCCACGACTAGCCAAAAATCTGTACCCTTTGCCCCATAATTCTGATGCTGAGGGAAGTTATAAGTCTTTAGAAGTGCTATTGATTGGGCAGAGAAACTTAAGGCCCTTGATAGGGGAGGGAAATCCAGGTTCAAGGGGGTGAATTCCTTTATACTCCAGTGTGACAACTGTGACTAAGGGATTTGAAGAGGCAGGAAGAGATTTATGACCTTCCAACTCCCTCCCTTCATGTTGACACAGGGACATATAAAGCCCGAGTGAGATGAGGCCGAACAGGTGGCAGGGTCCCTTTGGTGAGCCAGTTAGCTGAACCTCTGTAAAAAGAACCATGCCTCACTGAGAAGGAAAACGGAGCAGACAGCCCCCAACATCCTTGACTTGATGGCAGGGGAGAGCCCAGGGACAGGGAGCTGGTAAGTGCACCCATAAGGATAGGGAGGGTACTGCTAAGCAGGGAACTGGCACTGGGGAGAATTAAGTAGGATAGAGGTTTCAGGAGTGAGACCCTAGAAAGTAGCAAGATCAGGCTGGATAGCCTAGGAGTGGACCTGGTAGCCACAGGGCCTAGAGCATTAAGCTGGGTAGACATGGTGCCATGTCACACCTTTTATCCCATACTCATTGTCCAGACCAGTGTCCCTCTGCCCAGGGCTCATTTCTTTGGGATCCCTAAATAGAAGTCTGGATTATGGGGAGGAAGAAGTGATCACATATTGTGGGATGGAACGTGAAGATGGAGGGTAAATAAAGACCTTTATGTCAGAATAGTGTTGAAATGAAGCTAGGTATGTGATAGTTCCAGTTTATTCACATTTTATCTCCCCCTTCTACTCCCAAGCAGTGTGTCTACTCTACAAGTATTGTATCAGCTCAATGTTAGAAGTATGTGTGTGTGTGTGTCATAAAGACAAAAGAAGTCCCACAGACAACTTTTTGGTGTGCCTCCACCACCTTGCAGGTTCATAGGACACTACAAGGTGGGGGGGGGTACTGTTTTTTATTTTTGTAGAGGCGGTCCCTGTCCTCCAGGAGCTTACAATCTAGCTGGGGAGACACAACTAACGCACACGTAAACAATCAGTACAATTAGCAATTACCACAATATTGACAACTGCGTGAGACCAGGGAAAGCAAGATCAGTGAGGGGCAGGGGACTCAGAAGGTATTTTAGTAAAGATGGGATTCATTAACTGGTTGAATAGGTCCAAATCAGGTGGCACATTTTTAGGGATCGAGATGGGCTTGGGGGTGGTATTTGGGGGAAGGAGGAATCAAAGGAGCAAAGGCAGGAAGGCTGGAATGCATACATGACACAGGCAAGGGTCAATGAGAGGACCCCACTCTTTCTGAACCCTCCTCCCTTGTCCATGCCTTCCAATCCCTCTCCATGGGAAGTGAGTTGATGCCTTCTCTGCTGCACTGAGATTCAGGGCTTCGGCTGGTGATGTTGGAATGTTCATGCTGCTGGTTGTCGTGTTTCAGTCTCCATGGTGGTGCCTGCTGACATGGCCATTACTTTGGGGCTAGGGTGGTACTGGCCCGAGTTGGTCAGATGAGAATGTGATGCCTGTGCCCAGAGATCTCCAGGATCTGCTGCTCCCAACCCACTTTCCTTCCTGACCCGCCTGGCAAGGGGACTGGTGTAAAGGGGTTGGTAAAGAATCTGGTATCGTCGTCATTGTAGGTGCTGCTTCTTGGGGGCCTACTGGCCCCTCACTGACCTTGGCAAGTGCTCCTCTGGCGAGGGAACACAGGGGACCCCCCATTCCTGCGCGGCACTTGCTCCCATGCTGGCTGAGATGCACAGGAGCATCTGGCGATAGGGCCGCCCAGGGCTGGGAGCTGGAGCCTCAGTTGGGGGCTCGCTGCCTGCGCTCCCCCAGCACCTGCCGCCCGGTCCGGGACACCGTGTACGCCAACTTCTGCAGGGAGTATCTGAACACCTGCGGTGAAAGACCCACCCTCAGTGGAACGCTACTACAGCCAGTTTGTAGCGCTGCCCTGCCCACCCCTGCCCCACCCCCTGCCCCACCCGCCTGTCCAGCATAGGCCAGAGAGGTGGGTGCCGGCGCAGCTTGTCCACGAGTCAGGGCAGCTGGAGCTTTTCCAACTGTGCTGAGAGCTGCATGGCGGCAAGCTGATTGGACCCACAACTTAGGTATACCTCACTTCTCGCAATGGGCTGTGTCCCTGAAGGATTTCGAAAAGCGAATCCTACCCAGTAAATGCAGCATTCCAGGAACACCTTGAAGGAAATACGTGATTCCTTTGGCAAAGAATTCTTTTAGCAGGGAATTCTTCCTGCAAAGGGGGCTTTTAGTGTGGATTATATTATGGGCAAAGCACTTCTGATTTATTTTTATGCAAAGCACGTTTGCCTTAAAAAAAAAAAAACAAACATTTTAACCTTTCTTTGGAAGCACTTTTCCAACCCTTTCCATTTTTCCTGTGAAGGGCTTTTTCAAGTCTTAATTGTTTTATTCAAATTGTTTTTATCCAATTAATTTTTTTTCGTTATCGCCTTTGTCTGATGTTTTCCTGCAAGGCGCTTTGTCTAATGCATTTTATCAGCTGCTTTTATTTCATTTCTTTTTCCTGCAATGCACGTTTTCCCCCGTTGACTGTTTTGTATAATTTGTTCTTGTGCTCTTTTGTGAAGTTTGTTTGCTTGTTTTTTGAGAAGTGTCTTTTTCAAATTTGAGAAGTGTAATTTTTGTCTCATTCCCGCAAGCGCTATATGATTATGTATATATATATATATATATATATGTATTTTTTAAAAAGAAAATTAACCTGCAATGCGCAGTATTTTTAAGGCAGAATTTTTTGCTAGGCGAGCTGTAAAGTCTTGAAACACACAAGTGCCCCGCCTCCCTCCTGGGGTTGAGTCTGGGTGTAGCAGTTTTTCTTACCACATAGGTCGCTAAAAGCCTCGCCGATCATCTGCGGCGACCGCCGCACCCCGAGTCTTTGTTCCCGGCCGGTGCGGGCATACTGGGGAGGGTCTGCATGAGGATGTGGGCGCCGGGAAGCAGCGAGGGGCGTGCCGCAGCGGCCGTTAAGCAGACATGGATCGCGGCAATCGGAATAGGATGGGTGTAGGAGGCGGCATTCGCTACGCGCGCATCGGGAGACCTCCCGCCCTAACCTCTGCACACTTACCTGCAGTAGCACGCGAAAGATGTACCAGCCGATGATGAGCAGTTCAGCTGAAGCTGCCGCCACTGCAGCCATGGTACCAAGAGTGGTGGGTGGGTGTTCGCGAGCAAGGGTTCTTGCCGAGATCCAGTGATCTCTCGGAGTCCGCTGTTGCGCGCACTGCTGCAGCCGCGATTGCCGCGCCTTAAGTATCTGTCTGCTGCCTAATTGCGCATGCGCGGTCGGGGTGGTATTTCCTGAGGAGGGGTGGCCGGGGGCGCACCTCATTCGCTAGGGGAGAGAAAAAATCTATCTGCTCTCTCCACAACGACCCTGCCTCCGAAGTCCCATCTTAGTCGCTTTCCGGAAGATTCCACTGTAATCGTTTTTGAATTTCAGAGTAAAATGGAGGGGCGCCTACACAACTGAATAGAGCACAGGGTAGTTGGTGCAGACCTCTTAGTGAGACGCCTCTCTTTCCAAGTCCTGAGCTGCAATTTGAGCTCAGCCCAGCGCCAGAATGGACCTCTTGTACCCTGGAAAATCAACATTAGAGAGGGGTCATCTGCCCGGTAAAGCAAAAAAGGTACCCTTTCCAAGGCTTCTTTATAGGGTACTGTTCAGCACTCTTCCTGACATCCAGTGAGTTTTAAGCTCATGCCTTCTGCTTCGAGCGGGTCCATTAGTACATAGCTGTACATTTTTAAAAATTTTTTGTATTTAGTACAGGGTCTACAGGGTCTCACTATGTAGATCTGACTCATAGTGATTCTCCTGTTTGCAGCCTCCCAAGTGCTGGGTTTACAGGCTCGCGCCCCACTCCACCCCCCAGCCCAGTCTCAGTTGAGGTCTCAACGCGCTCTGGGGGCGCGGCCAGCGCAGCACGCTGGGGATCGAAACAGGACACGGAACTCTGCCTAAGCAGGCGCTTTAGTCCACTGAGCTATCTGGTCAGCCCTTACATTGATTCTTTATATCCTGCCTCTTTGTGGTAGTGAGAATCGGGGTCTACTATGGTAGCAGTGGGTACTGTAGGGAGCTGGGCCAGGGTGCTAACTCTGGGCTGGGAAGCAGTAGTGTCTGTTTTGTAGGAGTGGTGCAGGAAGGATTGGCGCCTTTGTGTGCCCAAAAGAATGAACTCTAAAAGTGTTTAGCAAGTTCCAGTGTGTTTGCAGGAGGATAATTTTCCTCCAGATGGATTGTTTGAACCTCTGTCTTCCACTCCCCCATAGCAAGACTCAGGTGTTTTGCTGTGGCTGCTAATGGGGATGACTTGTCATAACCCTATTTCAAGCTATATAAAGTATCCGAGTGCTTGTCTTTTGTGCACTTGGTGCAACACAGGCCTGGGGAGTCCCTCAGAGTGCAGCAGAGTCATTCAAGGAGCTGGGCTTTGTGGGCTGGATCCCAAAACACAATCTTCAAGAGGACCCTGGCACACTGGTGGCCTGTTGGAAGTACTTCTCTTCAGCAAGCTGCCTGGCACAGGGACCAACTGGCGTTTGTCTCTATGTGTGTAGGAAACTAGTTTTGTTTAAAAGATCACAGAGGTCACGTTCTATACAATGTAGAAGCAGATGGGGGTGTAATGATCCAGTGTATTTCAGACAAAGTAGCACAGTGATTTTTCTGCCTACACTGACTTTGAAGAAGTTGGCTGGTTTTGATAAAATGATACTGGCCTGCTTGAAAAAGATAAACTCTGCCCAGGGTGCCATCTTTTTGGTGCCATCACTGCCATGGCTTCCAGGAGTTTGCTATGATCCATTACTTGCCATATCCAGCCTGCAGTGCACTCCTGCCTGCTTTAACTTACCATGCTGCCAGAGCATGGCACCTACAGTGCAGTGAGAAACTAGATACAAAACCCTTAATTAGCATGTGGGGGCACAGCACAGAGCCCATGATAGTCCTGTGGCAACCACAGGGTGGTATTGTGAGGTCTGGGCCCTTTGAGGACAGACTGCAGCCTCAGGAGGCGATACATGATCTCTGCTGGGCAGGGCCCAGGCAAAGCCAGTCCACTGTGTGGGACCATGCCAAACAGCTCTCTTGAGGTGCCCCTCATCAGTAGAAACCCAGGGGAGATATCCTAAGAGTCTTCAAGGGAGATATTCCAGGAGGTTTCTGGAACTGGTGACAGGAGAGGAGTAGAACTTCCCATGGGTGGGCAGGGAGGAAAGGGCAATCACATTTGCTGTTGTTAATCATGATCCATTTTCCCAAATAAGTATACATTCTGTTCCTGTTTTTTTTTTTTTTTTTGTCTGTTTGTCTGTCTGTTTTGTCTGTTTGTCTGTTGTGTTGACTTTTCTCTTCAGGATCCCTGCTGCCTTGGTGATCCCAGGCTGACAGCCAGAGAGCACAGCGGCTCAGCTCCTGGAGAGAGGGTTGAAGAAAACAGAGGGCAGCCACCTGCACCCACTGGCTCCCATTAGGTCGGTTCCTGCAGCGGTGCCTGGCAGCCTTGGTGAAGGCCCTGCCCGACAGAGATCATGTATTGCCTCCAGTGGCTGCTGCCTGTCCTCCTCATCCCCAAGCCCCTCAACCCCGCCCTGTGGTTCAGCCACTCCATGTTCATGGGCTTCTACCTGCTCAGCTTTCTCCTGGAACGGAAGCCTTGCACGATCTGTGCCTTGGTTTTCCTGGCAGCCCTGTTCCTCATCTGTTATAGCTGCTGGGGGAACTGTTTCCTGTACCACTGCACTGATTCCCCACTTCCGGATTCAGCACATGATCCTGGTGTTGTGGGCACCTAACAGCTGTCCTGTTAGCTTTCCAAGAAAGCAGAAGACGGGAGGGGAGGCATTGACATAGGTCATAAAGCATTGGAGTTTCAAATCCCGCAGCCCTGCGGGTATCACATTCCTGATGACGCCTTTTTGGCCTGTGATGTTTTATCCTTATAATGTGAATAATGGCACTGACCGGTGCTTTTATTGTAGAGTCTTGTAGTTGTGGGTGGTCTTGTGATTGTGTGTGTTCTGTCCCCATCTGGGTCCTGGTTGACAGGGTGGCCACCCCTTCGCCTCATTACTGCGAGGAGCCCACACCCATCCTGATCAACCATCCTGGCTTGGCCTGGGCAGATAAAATGCCAGTCTCATTGTCACTTCTGTGACTCCTTGTCAAAATCTCCCTTCTTCCCAGAATGTTACTGACTCCTCAGCCCCTCTCCTGGTTTCCCTTTAGTTCTCTTCTACTACTTTCCTTTTTTTGGGAGCAGCTGTCCATGACAGGGCTCATTTTTGCACTTATCTCGAATTTGAAGAGATTGCTGACGCCCGAAAGCCTCGCTTTTTCATCCTTCTTCCCCTGTTCAACAGGCTAGACATATATATATATATATATATCTATCCACAAGCCTCCAGTATTTTCTCCACTTCATTTTTAAAAGAAGCAACAGATAGATGTTGCTCTTTTACCTGGGTGTCTGGGCTCATGCTTCGAGCCCCACTTCCTTTACTCTTTCTCCTGCCTTTCTCAGCCATCCCGAGAGGGGGGGCCTTGTGTTTCCTGTGCATGCTCTGCAGGATGGAGGTATGATGTGTTCACGTAGACCTAGCAGTCCCCAGCTGAATGAATGGGAAAGTATTTGTGGGATGCATAGTAGCCATAATCCCCTTGATAAGTGTTTGGATCCAATTTTTTTGATGTGCTCTGTGTGTGTGTGTGTGTGTGTGTGTGTGTGTGTGTGTGTAAATACATGTGTATATTCCTTTTAAAGAAGCTTTACAGAATATGTTCTGGTTTTGAAGTTTAGCAGTAGCTAGCTGTAGTAGGTGCCACTGCGGTTTTATTTAGCATGGGGATTGCAGAGTGACCAGCACACTGGACTCCAAGGTGGTTCAGAAAAGACACAAGGGAGCAGCAGCCATCAGCCTCCCCCCAGGAGCTTCTTCATTCCTGCACATGTAGACTACCTTTCGAAGAATACACAGGAAGATTTTGTGACTGTCACTTGCTGTTTTTTTCTCTGCGCTTCAGTAACGAGTGTTGGCAAACTAGACTTTCTCTTGGCCTCTCCCTATTGGGAATCCGCATGATTGTCCTTCCAGTAGGAACCATCCCTCTCTCTGGCCTGAGGAGGAGGGGAGGTGCGCCAGGCAGAGGACAGAAATGGAGGCAGTCCATCTAGGAAATGGGACTGCAAGGCCACACTTGTGAAATATTTGGACTGCTGTTCTAGAGCTTTTATTTCTGGTGTGTTCGTTGCACAGCTGTTTGAAATGTTTAATAAAGCTTTATAAACTTTACTTTGTGGTTTTATGTATGTGGCTGCAGTCCATTTGGGTTGTGGTATTGGATTTCTAAGTTGATGGGGGGAGCAGGGGGAAGCATGAAGGGGCTGAGTCTTTGGCGCCAGAGTATCTTACCCCAAAAATTTGATCTGCTCTTTGGAGAGCAGATGGTGGGATGGGGGAGGGAGGGGCAGGCCTGGCAGTAAACAGGAGGGAGTCTGAAAAGTTTTCAGAGATGAGACATTGGTGTTTCTCAGCTCCCATGGCTTCCCGCCTGAAATTGTTCCCCTCCATAGGAGATTTGAGTAACTGATCCCTTGACAAACAACTTAAGACAGCTGGAGCTCTAATCATCAAGGATTTTTATGTGCTGTTTTTGAAGTAGAAATACAGTGAAACCCTTCATGGCATTTCAAGTAGAAAAATAAATAAGACTGACTGTCCAACCAGCAGACTTAAGTCATGGCTAGAATAGTGGTATGGATCCCTGTGGCAGATGCGCACATGGTCCCGTGGCCATGACCTGTGAGACAAGGTGGGGAAGCTTGTGAAGACCCTTGCTGGGCATTCACCTCGAATCTCTCTTCTAGAAAACTGTACTGTTGGGGGCCTGCCCCTTAGCTCAGTTCTTTAAGTGGCTGCTTCAACAAAGCAGTCAGGCTCAGATTGCTGTGGTTCGATCCCCACAACTCAAGCCAGCCAAACCTGCCCTGAGGGCATTTGAAGCAAAAAGAAAAAAGAAAAAGAAAACAGGACTGTTGTGAGGAGTTTCTGAGGTAAAAGTTGTGAACGGCTCTGGTAATTTTGAGGATCACCTGTCTTACACTTAATTCTTTGCTGTAAATTTGTGTGGCTTTTCCCTGGTTTTTAAAATCTATCCTGGGCCCGGGAGATAGCCTGGCAAGCACAAGGTCCTGAGTTCAATCCCCAGTACCACAAAAAAATAAAGTCTGTCCTTCAGTTACTTTATTCCTTTTTACATTCCTTGCATTGCTTATCCATGTTTTTTGATCAAAATTTAACGAAGATTTGTCTGTTTTAATTAAGAGTATTTTCAAAGAACCAAACTTTCATTGATTCTATCGGATGGGTATTTTTTCTGCTTGATTCTTTGATGTTTTTATCTGTAAATCTCCCCTCCCCCAGATTTCT